TCTTTGTGCTGCACTTTCCCGTTTTCGTTTAATATTTACCTTACTGGTGTATGAAGCGTGGCATGACTTGTGATATCTTCCTTCGGCTGCTATGAGGTCATAATTGACTGAATTAAGTATACATAAGAGGTCGGTATCTTCACGGGTCTCGGAAGATTGCTTTATGCTGTTGCATGCTTCAAACGTTGATATTCTTAACAGCTGCTTTTCTTTTTTACGGGTTGAATTTTGACAAAAAAATACGTTTTGACCAGTCAAAGGAGATCGATGTATGTCGTGTTCTTGGTTCTTGGCGATCATCGCTTAAAGGCTGCGATAAGCAATACTGCAAGCTGTGCTTGCTAGTATACGTCTCATAACAAGATGAGTGCCACAAGAGGTCGTTTCTACCCATATGGTGAAGCTCAATGGAAGAGAGACGCTGTGACAGCTCATCTTGCCGAATATTAAGAGCTGAAATTACTTTATCTATCGATGAGGGTTGTGCTACACGCAAGACATCGTTACTTTTTTCGCAAAGAAATGCATTTACTGAAGCATGTTCTCTTTAGCCGCTTAGGAGGCTTTTCAACAAGCTGCCAGCCATCCTCGCCATCCATCTTCTCTGCAGCTCACCTAGCTGTTGTGGTTAACAACTTATATAGTTTATGCAAAACCAAAGGCTTGCGTTAATCAAACAGTTTTATTTGTAGCAGCCATTAAGTGGTGGACCAAATAGTGGGCAAAGCAGTACACCAAACAGTGGGTAAGATGGTGAACCAAACGGTGGGTAAAACTGATACAGTGCAGATTCAAATTATGTATTTGCAAACAGAATTTTGTCAAAGTTTGGCAGCGAATCGGCCAGCGAATGCCCCTATGAAAAACATTAAAGAGAAAGAAAAAACCGAGCAATACATTTAGTCTCGATAAAATTCTAGTTACAAAACATTTTTTGGCTTAGGAAGGCTAAAGCAATACTCCCTTTAGTCAGTACTTAAAAGTTCAATAGTGATTTCCACCGGCGGAATTACAGAACAACAAGAACAGAAGTCCTAGAAATACTACTGATAGTCAAACATCTATAATAGGTCTTCAACCTCTTCCTCAACTTTTGATAGAAATGTCTGTGTAATTATTAGAAAGTTACAAGCAACACCGACCAAGCACTAGATCAATCGAGGGATCATCCGAAATGGCGGTCTTAAAATGAGGCTTGGTTGTTAATTTGCGCTTATTACTATGCCCACTCCCTAGCCGATAGTAGGATATTAATTTTTTGCTTATTTATTGAAACATTTTGAGTATTCAATCTCGTTTGGTGTTAAAGTTACGATTCAGTAAACAGAATATCACGCATTGTATGGAAATTTTCTAAAATACCAATACAAAAATAAATTCATTCCAAAAAGTGTGATTAAAACATAGTATCTTTTTCAATATCTATTGGGAAAACGATAATCTGGACATTTCTCGCAGATCCCGTCTCATAGTCACATTTTGAAATCTATGTTTATTTTTGAAAATTCCACGTGTTTTAAGCTCAAAAAGTAAATTTTTTACGAGAAATGGTCACGTGACATGTCACGTGACCGTTTCTGGGGCTCGTAATCACTCCAATTTATGCTGCAGACTTTGTAAACACCTTAAAGTGTTTTCTCGGATGTTTTGATTAGAGTCATTACGTTTATAGGGCGAAAATGGTTAAGTCTCGTTTCTATGTTGAAAGCCAAATTTGTATATATATATTGTAAAAGACCCCCATTTATCTCGCTAATGGTACCACAATTCAGCACTATATAGTACCTAGTATTAAAGAGCGGTTATTCTTCTATAAGAATTCGCTGCTAGACCTTTTCTGTCGAGTGGGTTGAGCCATCTCTTTAAGTAAGGCCTTTTTCAGAGTTAGCGCCTTGACCATTAGAGTTTCTGTACGATAACCATTGGTTGTTTTTGTTACAACCAAACTAATTGGCTCGATGCAGTTGTTGCAGGTTTGTTGGAGAATTCTAGACAAGCACGAGAGTGGGAAAAAGTCCAAGAGTTTGATAAAGAACAAGTTCTCTCAGTTCCAGAAGGACATTATGTGGAACTTAACTTTACCATGCGCAGCCAGTATCCAGGACGATGTCTAAAGGGTTCTTATCTTGAGATTCGTGACGGCAGTGATCAGTCAGCCAATCTTCTTGGTGAATTCTGTGGCAATTTC